ACCCGAACCGTATAGCCTCCTCGTAGGTATAGGGAGGCAAACATGTGTCAAGTATCAGCCTCCTCCGTTAGTCCATGCCACGTCGGTCTCATCTCTCTTTCTCCGTCCCCATTCCCCATCCCATCCATGAACCCTAGCTCGGCGATTTGGCGGCGGCGACGACTAAAGGCGGTGAGAGAACCAGAGGAGGTGGCGGGCAAGGAAGCAGGCACTGGTGGCTAGGGATCTCAGAGGCGGCCGCGCCTACACCGAAGGCGATGGATGCCCCATAACCCTACTTGGTGTTCCGTGGCAATTGATGCAGGCGATGGATGCCCCATAACCCCAGCTGGTGTTCCGCGGCATCCATCGCCTTCGGTGCAAGCGCGGCCGCCTCTGAGATCCCCAGCCACCAGCACCTACTTCCTTGCCCTGCCACCTACTCTGGTTCTCTCGCCGCCCGCCGCCGCCAAATCGCCGAGCTAGGGTTCGTGGATGGGATGGGGAACGGGGATGGGAGAAAGAGAGATGTGACCGACGTAGCGCGGACTAACGGAGGAGGCCGATACTTGACGCACGTTTGCCTCCCTGTATACCTACGGTGCTAACAGTGGGCCTCATATGGTTCTGCTGTAGAAAATGGCATGGTTTAGCGAAGCTAGGAATTATAATGGCCTATGTCCGATTAGACGATTTGCAATGGCGTTTCTCAAAAGTTGAAGAATTATAATGGCCTCTTTCGAAAAAAAACCCTTAAAAAAGGGGTTGTCGCGTGAAATGAAACTGAGTCCCGGTCTCTTTAACAAGCCCTGGTGTAGAAATTACTCGGTTTAGGCAACATTTACTCAGTTTCTCTTAGGGCCAAGGGTTCATATTGATGGTTAACTAGTCGATGAAGAAGCTAGAGTAGTGTAGGCGTCACCTGGAGGCATTTTGAAAAAATGGGTTGTCGCGCGAAATAAAACTGAGTCCCAGCCTCTTTAACAAGCATCGGTGTAGAAATTACTTGATGCAGGCAGCATTTGCTTAGTTTCTATCAGGGCCAAGGGTTCAAATTGATGGTTAACTAGTTGATGAAGAAGCTAGAGTAGTATTGGTGGCCACCTGGAGGCATTTTGAAAAAGGGTTGTCGCGAGAAATGAACTGAGTCCCGGCCTCTTTAACAAGCTGGGTGTAGAAATTACTCAGTTTAGGCATCATTTACTCAGTTCATCTTAGGGTCAAGGGTTCATATTGATGGTTAACTAAATGATGAAGAAGCTAAAGTAGTGTAAGCGCTCACCTGGAGGCATTTTGAAAAAAGGGGTTATCGCGTGAAATAAAATTGAGTCCCAACCTCTTTAACAAGCACCGGTATAGAAATTACTCGATTCAGCCAGCATTTACTTAGTTTCTCTTAGGGCTAGGGGTTCAAATTGATGGTTAGCTAATTGATGAAAAAGGTAGAGTAGCGTAGGTGCCCACCTAAAGGCATTTTGAAAAAAGGTTGCCGCGCAAAATGAAACTAAGTCCTACTTTTTAACAAGCCTCGAGAAATTACTCGATTGCCTGAAATGCTACTTATCAGTTATCACACACACAGACTAACAGACAATTTTATAGGATGTTGTCTCTTGGATTTATAACAAGTATATTTGTATGTAATGATCCATCTACTTTATCTTCCAAGAGGTGAGAGAGAACTCTGCAGCAACCAATGGAATGAAGGGCTACTGTTTGGTGAAAGGGGTAGCGGTTCACTGGACTCATGAGTGAAACTGAAGCCCTGAATTCTCCGTCCTGAATTTTGGCAGAGCCTATATGTTAAGTGATAAACCATCCTTCTCCTTGTTGAGAAATTTTGATCCGAATGGATGTATGATCGGTATTAGGACCAATGTTATCCGTGATTTGTCCCTGTGTCTTTTGGCTGCACTCAAAAGTAGAACTCGTGTTGCAGCTGTTGATTATTGGGTTGTCTGATTATTGGATTTTCTCTGGTTTTCAATATTAACGGGTTTTGGATCTTATTTTAGTGTTGACATGTGTTATTTAAAATCTGACAGTTTTCTACTCCCAATATCTGTCATTTTTTCAAGACAAATGTGTCATTGTTCTATTGGTAAAAATTTGACAGATTTGAAGGTGTCAAATCTGTCGATAGTTATATAGTGCCTCCCTTTCTAAAATATCAAAAAAGTTTTCTGGCAGTAAATATTCTAGGTTTCTCTGTAGTCTTCTGCCTTCATCCATTATTTTTAAAACATCTGACTATGCCATTTGATTTTTTTTCAAGTTCTATTAAAAAGTACAGTATATTCCCAGGATACATACGATGAATCTCATCAATATCTAATTGATAAGTAAATATTAAGCTTTGGAATTGAACAATAAAGACTAGCACACCAATCCAACAGAAACTGCTCTAATTCATTATCAGTATATGTCTGCATCAAAAGTAACAAACATAAAATAATCACAAGTATAGATCTTGAGTCACGAATTTCAAAGGACTACTTTCTTTATTTCTCAAAACTAGAAGCACAAGGTGTGGTCTTACACATATGATAGGTTTACACTGAATGAAGGACTCAAACTCACATCTGCACTCTCTATGGACTCGGCAATGAAACTAGAGACTAGGAAAACCTAAGGAATGACAACTAGAGAGATGGGCTGGTTAGGAGCACCCACCCTCTTATTTATAGAGCTATTAACCCCTAACTTGCCCTTAGATATTTTGGCTCCACTTTACCCAGGGGCAAAATGGTCCATCTTTTGATCGATGCATCTGACGGCCACGAGCTCTTCACAACTTTGCTTCGCCTCGAGCCCTCGATGCAAGCTTCGTGATGGCTCCACGTGCCGCCTCCAAGTCCATTCCGAACTCCAACCGGGTTTTGGCCAAATAGCTAAACCCTTCTAGAGAAGCATATCTGCTACGCCTAATCCGCAATCTCGACGCGTATCACCGTCCGTCCTCAGCTGCCTGATCATCAAGTCCTCCAGCTCCTCCGCTTGACTTGGTCAACCGTCATCTTGACTTGATCAACACGGTTTACTCCTCCACATGTATACTTGCTTGTCGATGTCCCCAAGTGTCAGCCACCCACAGTTAGCCTTTCGGCCACTTTGGTCCCTTGGTCTAAGCCTCATGCCCGTCCTTCACCGCTCCCAGTCCATCGGCACAACACGTCTCTACTTAATCTTCTCCATGGATGTCAACCATCTCCGTGCTTCACACCCACGCACCAACATAACCAAGAGACATGTTGCACAACACCATACTCACGCCATAGTTAGTCTTCATACTTAACCAAATCTTTATCATCTCATGACAATCACTCATTATCACCTCGACACATATGGGCACATATCAATCATGTGTTCGCAATAGTCTAATGCAAAGGCATATTGGAATTTTGATGAACTGGAACAATAGCGAGGTGATAAAAAGAGGTTGTTGTTTAGCGAAACAAGCACCCAGTAAGCTAAAATTTAGGACTATATGACAAACGCACACCATTGTATGAGCTAACATTGCCATGCAAATCACCATGTTTATTTTGTTTTATGCACAAATCAAGGCATTGTGAGTTACTACAAGACACCTAAAAGGACAACTCACCAAGAAGTTGTCGATTAAGTTGTCTCATGGTTACCTGAAACTACATGGTGGTGTCAAACTCCTAGCGTATAGCTCCAAGACATGAGAAGTATTGTGATTAATCAAACGATACTACAGAAAAACAAAGTTATAGATCCATTATAGAAGATGCAAGAACATCTCGAATTCAAATCTACAAGAGAGCCAAGGAACTGGATAAAGACTCAGAAAAGTGGTTTTATCGCCAAAAAAGCTCACCAAGACGAGAAACGAAGACTTCTTAGTTTCGCCTCAGTTTAAATTACGTAGTCACAAGATAGTAACCGAAAAAATAAAGAGACAAAAAAGAGTGACAATAGCTCTGAGCTACAATTAGAGTTCATACCAATAGATAGAGTAAAGATGGAATGAGAAAAAAACAATTATCATCAAATAAATAAAACTATTTGTAAAATAATATTAGAATAAAAAATCCAAATGCTATACTAAACAAACTAGCTACCTGTGCTATTTTCGTGGGCCAGCTTGCTAATTTCTCTTATTATTTAGTTCGTTGAACAATATTTGGAGTTTTGGACTCAACCACAGTGATAAGTTTGCTTAGAACACTTATGATGCACCAATGTGTTTCGGAGGGCAGCTAGCAAGGTTCAATTTTAAGGAGCGAGCGTTAGCACGTGACGCGGGTTGTTGGGCCCACTTGGAGCTATCCGCCAGGAGTTTGACACCACCATGCAGTTTTTCTTTCCTTTATTATTTTTCTCGTATTTTTCTTTCCTTTATTACTTTTCTTTTTCTTTCATATTTAACCTACATATTTTCTTCTATGCACTATAATAATTCTTTATTCATATTTTTTTCTGCAAGCCTTTTTAAGAGTAATTTAGGTACAAAACTTTAGATATTGCATAGCAAAAGAACTTATGTGAAGTTGCTCATAAGAATTGTCCTGTGAAAGTTTGTCCCAAAAAGATTATACCTACGGGAATTATTCAAGTTACCTACGGGAATTATTCAAGTTGTGTATAAGTTTCTTTCAGAAATATTGTAGGACAAAAGGTTAGAGTATATCTTCTCTCCCACACACAACTAAAAAAACAAAACCTAGATATTTTTTCGTGCGATAAAAAGTTTGGGGTCGTCGGTCTGCCGTGCGATTCCGCGACTCCGTGGCTCCGTGCGCCGGCAGCTGGGACTTTCCTCTGCGGACGCACAATCACCCCCAAATCCCCAATCACCAGCAACGAGAAATCACTGCAATCAATCTCCATCGCACGCGCGCCTCTCCTTTCTCCGGGCTCGCCCACGCCGTCGCACCAGCGTGCCTCTCCCACGCCGTCGAGAATACAGGTCGTCGTTCATCCGACATCGGGTGCCGCCGTACGGAAGACCCCGTCCTCGACGCCACAATCATCCCCACACGCGACGTGCCGCCATGGGAGATCCCGTCCTCGCAGTCGCCCAGATCTTCACCGCTGCCATCGCAGTCGCCGCCTGCTCCTTGACAACCACGACCTCGGGCGATAGCCTACAGCGCGTGCCCCGGCCCACAGCGTCGCGGCTGCCCGCATCCCGCCGTCGCTACCCCACGCCCAGGTCTCCGCCGCCGCCGCCGCCGCTAGCCAGGCGCTCGTCGATGAAGCCAGACGCCACGAAGCCACCCTGCAGACGCCACCGGACCGTCCCCTGCTCCGTCATGCTAGGCACTGAGGTCTCTGCCACCGCCGTCGCCGCTAGCCAGGCGCTCGTCGACGAAGCCCGATGCCACGAAGCCACCCTACAGACGCCACCGGACCGCCCCCTGCTCCATCATGCCAGACGCTGAGATCTCCGCCGCCGCATGCCACGCGCTTGGGTCTTCGCTGGTTCCTTCATCAGATCTTCGTCGGGCACCCAGCAGGTATGTCCACCCCTTCTCTTTCCTTTACTTCTCTTTTGCCCCTATGCATTCTCTTGTGGAGCTTCATTTTGTGGGAGCCTGATTGATTTATGGTCGGTTGGAGGAAGGTGCTAAAGAAGAGCCAGTGAAATTCTACGATGAATGGTGATGCTGCTGCGATGAATGGACATGCCATTGATGTTGGACAATTGTTCCATATGATGATGACATGGTTGAGGCTGCTGTCAATCTACCTGTGGTCATTGAAATTGGAGACTCGGTATGGCTTTCAGAAGCACTGTAGCTGTTTTCTAGTTTGAAAGGTGATGTTTGGAATGTGTTCCAATGTTGATCCTGTTTTTGTTGCTTATTTCAAGAGACTGGCATTCCAGAGAAGAGGGCAATGGAGGCCGACATGCTTCTTTTTGTTCTTTGCACACTAGCAGACTGTCATCAATGTCATTGTCTGTCTGAAATGCAGAGATTAGCCGGACAATCATTTTGCAGGAGAAAAAAGGAATAGCCTGTGAATTAATCAGGATCAAATGGTCTACAATGTTCTAACTGATGACCGAGCAAGGATTCTAATGCTTAGCTTGTCCTCTGTCATCAGGCTACTGACTGTCATATTCTTCACATTCAGTGTAGCAAAATTGACTTGACTGGTTTTTGTAGCTAAACATGTGACGCAGGGAGCCATATATGTGATTTTGGGACGGACAAACTGTTGGTAAGTAAATACTTGTTGCACTTCTTTTAGCTATAGCTGATCATAGTTTTTCATGGTTAAAGCTCAGTATTCTGTGTGTACAATTCTTTCTCATCTACATGATGCATATGTATGTCATTTTGTACCTGCCAAGTAGTCTGAATTCGGTATTTGTTCCTCATAATTAGCATTGTAATAAATTACAGGTTTGAGGAGGTGGTTTCATTATTGTCTGCTATGCTGAATTTTACATTCTTCTTTAGCAATCAGCATTGAGCCAACTTGAACTTTACAATGTGCCAGAATCATTCCACTGAACACTTCAGCTGATAGGGGAGTTGTTTGCTTACCTTGTAGGGGGAGTTGCATTGCACCAAATGAATAAAATATTATGCAAAAGGCAAGAGGAATGCAGGTGACACTTTAAATCAATGTGGTAGGCTTCAGTGTGTCGTAGCAAGTGTGGCGGCATCTGGCATCATAGACCATGTACTTGCATGGTTTCATCTTTTTTATTTCTATAGGTTTCTATCCATAGGTACAATTGGCATGGATGGTCTTTAGAACTTCTCCGATTTCAATTATGATTATAGACTATTAATTGTATGAGTCACTGATTGATTTATTTCATGTTTGATTTGGTGCAAGTGGCCACAGCATATAAGATTTTGGTGGAGATCGAGATTTGGAGGCTTTGTTCTTGTATTCCTGAATGTTTTTTTGTGGGCATTTGCATTTCTACTGTTTGGTTGGGAGGACAAAAGTCTTGGCCCTTGGTTTAGAATGAACTGGTTAGAAGTACAGGTGCTTGTGCATTTATTGTAGAAGCACTTGGTTGAACTGAAAAGTTACCTTTTCTCATACATATTTATTATACTAAATAATACCTACTCTTGCAAATATTTTCTTCTCTTTAATCAACATATTGGTTCAAGATAATGGACCGTTCCTCAGGATACTGAATTCAGCCCTTTACTAAGGCCACAGATAGGATGTGCCATTACACTGACATCCTTTATAATTAAGTTTTCTGAGAGCAGAATTCCACACTCGGTGGTGAATGAATATGAAAGGTCATTTTTTCCTGAATTATTTCCTAAGAATTTCTTGCTATTTGAAAGCGGAAATCCAAGCTCATGTAACTCTATGAAGTTATATGAAAGTATTATATTCCTATTAATTGGTAACTTAATTATAAATGCAATTCAGGTTTGAATGTTTCCCTTTTATATGCAAACAGATTACTGCAGTGCTCAAGATTGGGAACAACAAGGAACTTCTGCTAATACCAGATCACCTCTCGGAGCAAGCAAGGACTTCATTAGAAAGTCGGGGCAGAGCTGTGTGTGTGTGTGTGTGTGTTTCCAATGTACAACCTTGCCATACATTTGGCATCGATAGCTTGAGCTTCAGTCTGTAACCTTCAGCATATCAGTCAAAATATAGTGGCCCGTTTGTTCATTTTTAGTACAATAGTTTTGTTGGTGCCGAACCTTCTGATAAGCTCCATCCATGGATATTTTCTCTCACGTTATTGGTTACTGTAACTCAACTCTTGAAAAACAGACAATGAACCATATTCATATTTTTTACACAGGGGAGGTTGTGTGCCTTGATGATATCCCTATTCCCATGGGTTGCTTGCATGAAGCATTTATTTGCAGCACATGCTCTCGTGCTCATTTTTTCGTGGTACACAACATCCTTTTTTCGTGGTACACAGCATCCATTTTAGGGTTGAGCGTTCCTCATGTTCGGGAGATTGCATTCCTCATTCCAATTATAATGAAGTTAACCGGTTTGAACCAAAGGTAGCATTGAAAATTTTTAGTTCATTATAATTTCATATGAAATATGAAATCCATGGCCTTTAATTGTAGCATACTGTTTTTTTTTCATTTCTCACACAGCTATACTGATAAGCATATCAAAGAATTGGAAAGCATGCTTGACAAGATAGAAGTCTGGAATGTTGCGAAGTTATAAAATATATTGAAGGAAAGTCTCAAGGGAAGGGCATAACATCTGTTGCAACGTAGGTGTCCGCTTTCAGGCAACAACTCTGAGAGTACATAACACTGAAACAATATAATAGTATTAGGAAGCATCACATGGACCTGAGCTTATGTGTAAGCACATTTTTATAATTATTATCGTGTTATTTGTTATTCTTCTAATTATATAAAATAGGTCAAGTTATACTAAAAAGGCTAAAAAGCAAAATATGCCAAGTTATACTAATCCTAACTCTCGATATCCTTCTCTTCCAAAAATGTGTGTTTTAACAAAAAGCCCAGAATATTGTAAAAGATACAGTGTGAAAGAAATGGCTGCTGCGATTGGTGTATGTGAGAATATGGAATACAACTTACCACCGTGTAGATACGTTAGTTGCTTGCTCCTGCTTTTATTACTTGTTTCCTATATATTATTCTAATCGCTACCATGTTTGCAGTTTCTTTTGCCATGGCTACACGTTCGAAAATATATGTTTAGGTTTTCGATCAGCAGGAGAAGATGCTTATCACGATTGACTCTAGACCTATTGAAAAGTGGTGTAAAGACACCAGTGTTGATGTATACCAGGCAAACTCTTGGATTTAACTTGCAGTACATTGCCGCTGTGAATGTACATATTTCTGGATGGAACGAGGATATCTTCAAATAAAAATTCATCTGTGAAAAAAACATTGCAGATGACATAGATGGGTAACTAACTTAGAGTCATCGTCGCTTGCAATAATAATAATGCCTATGATTTAACTATTTCTATATATTGTTGATGGAGAATCTTTCCACAAACACTTAAGTGGATACCTTATTCTACAGTATATGTCTGCATGGTATAACGACCCAAAAACCATTACAAGGTAGGCAGTCATTTCTAACCATCCAAGTGTGCATTTTTAATCCAACTTAGAATCTGACTTGTGCCTAGGCCAACCCAAGACCGAGCACTGCATGTTTTGGCGGATCGTCCGACATCACCACCGGATCGTCTGTTAAGACATCTCACAGACTTAGGATAACCTTAGCCAACTCATGCACAGCGGAGTGTCCACCACTCACGGTGGAATGTCCACTGATTTTTAGAGGTACATAGCCAGGGAACTCGAGAGCACCCATCCCATACCGGAGTGTCCGTCACTCACGGCGGAGCGTCGGATGAATTATAAGGAATAGTCACCTAGTAACCCGAGAGTACCCGGTTGAAATGTCCTTATTTGGTTTTGGTAATTGAGTGACAATCTTAGGTGGACTAATATGTGTTTGAGTGAGATACACAGATGATTAGTCTATAGGTACTTGTGTGAGCAACTCATGCCATGACGGTGAAGATAGCTTGGATTTGTTGCAAGACTCACACATGTGATGAAGGAGCTCATTGCATATGAGACATGACATTGAGTCATGTGACTAAGGTGGAGAAGATCAAGACAAGACTTGGCTTGATGGACCGGTTGCAAGCATGAAGGATAAGTTGAAGGCTTTGGAGCGATACACCGCGTGGTGGTGAAGCTTGAGCAAGACTTGGCGCCGCTGGATGAAGGCAACGATGAAAAGCAAGTGAGGTCAAGATCGATGAACCAATACGGTCACGTGATGATATGAAGTGGATCATTTCATTTGGTGATTGGTTGGTGCATGTGTTGCATCAACGATGGAGGAGATGGAATAGAATGCGCAAGGCAAAGGTATATTTGTAGGGCATTTCATTTCACTGGTCAAAGGTTATATAGAGAAGTGCATGACTGGGTTTAGGATAGATGGCCATACTATTAAGAAGAGCAAACTTGTTTGCATATCGGTCATCTAGTGCCACTTGAGCGATCTAACTTTACATACGTGTTAGGATCAAGTGGCGTTGAGAAAAGAGTGCTAATCCTTTGGAAAAAATGATTGTGAAAAGCTAACACATGAGCACAAGGTGGTGATCACTTGGTGGTGTTAGCACATTTGCAAAGGAGAAATCGAAAGGTGAAGAAAGGAGGTGAAACCGGGCTTGGGGTGCTGCCCTAGAGGCACCGCCACCCCCTATCTGGTGCATCGCCACCCTAGTGGCGTGACTGGCTGGTCGAGGCCGAGAGCAAAGGTTGGAGTTGGCACCGCCGTACCTTGTCTGGTGGCACCGCCACCCCTAGGGTGGTGCCCACATGGACTTGGTTTTGAGCAGTAGAAGAAGGGTTGTCATCGGACATGACGGTGTACACCGCCATGTGTAGGGCGGTGCACCACC